GAGCGGTGGTCCCCCGAGCCCGCAGCGGCGGCTCCCGGTGCTCCGTGATTCCCCTTCCTGCGCTCAGGTGGACGCTGCGGTGACCCGGGCAAGCCCGGAGCGCTGCGGGGCGAGGGCAGTCATCCCATCAGCAATAAGATTCCATCAGCGCGAGTCTCGCGAGAGGATTTTAGTGGGAAAAAGCGAAGCACCGGGAACGCGCGCTTGGGGATTTCGCTGCGTGCAATGCACGGATGTAGCTCCTTGAGCCTGGTTTATGAAATATTACATCTCAAAAAAAAAGGCAAATGCAAGTATTTGTAAAGTAGATGATGATTGTAATTTTTCGCGCTAGGGCGTAGCCTGTTTGGCCAGTAACGTGTTTCAAGTGCGTTGTTCAACGGCTCCTGGCTGAACGGGACGGCAGACTGATGTAGGATATGTTAGGATTGTAGCGGTGCTTTACGGAGTTTATGTTCTTGATGTTTAAGGGTGGAAAGAAGATGGTGGCCAAAAAAAAAAAAAAGAAAAGATTAAAAGAAGCCTTCTGACGCCCTGACTTGTAGTAACGAAGTCTCTGTGGCTGCTCCTGGTGTGGGGCGGCCGCGGCGGGGGCGGCCAGGGGCTGCCGACTTGTACTTGCTCCATGACTTGATTGCACTAGAGCAGCTTGGTCTCAGGAAATCGCTTGTTACTTTTACTGTGTAAATAAAGCTTCCTGGTTCAGTACCCCAGCTGGCTTCCCGTGATCTCTTTAATCTGCTCGGGTTTATTCTGCTCTCGCTGGACTCCAGCGCTGCCTCCGGTTCCAGGCCCTGCCATGGCACGTGTGGGGCTCTGCAGGGCCCTCTGGAGAGCCCGGTGCCAGCAGGAGAACCGAGGGGAAGGACGTTAAAGCACCAGAAATGGGCCCAAAGGAGACGAGGGTACCCCAGCTGGCTTCCCGTGATCTCTTTAATCTGCTCGGGTTTATTCTGCTCTCGCTGGACTCCAGCGCTGCCTCCGGTTCCAGGCCCTGCCATGGCACGTGTGGGGCTCTGCAGGGCCCTCTGGAGAGCCCGGTGCCAGCAGGAGAACCGAGGGGAAGGACGTTAAAGCACCAGAAATGGGCCCAAAGGAGACGAGGCTGAGTGGCTGCACAGTCACACTGCTGGGCTCAGGATTTTTGGGGTGGCAACCTGCGTTTTTTGATGCCCATGGGCAATGCCCTTCCCTCCCAGCCGGCCCAAACGCCGGCTCTTGTGCCCCGAGTTTTGCCAGCGTGTTTTCCCGTCCCCCCACACACACGCACGGAGCAGCCCATGCGACAGTGCCCCTCACGGGGCCGTGTTTATTGACCGTTACTGCACGCGGCAGCGGGAGCCCCGGCGCCCTTCCACGCGGCGCTCTCACCGCCCGCTACACTAAGATTAGTATCTCCCGCCCGTCCCC